CATGAATGAAGTCCCATACCCCATTCATACTGAGCAGAACTCCTTGAGGAACCATGAAATTACTACTGTGGGATTTTCTCTAATCTAAAACCATCACTTAATATCTATAGTGATGATACATCGTTATTAGCCCTACGCTTCCTGGGCCAACCTACACCTTGCAGGAGTGTAGGACCTGAACTACTAAGTGGATTCACAAGTCTATTGTGAAAAGGATTCATCTAACAAGTATGACCCCTTTGTACTCATAATGGCTACATGGTTATGAAGACTTGAGTTAATATCAACTTGCATCCCCATATCAGTGTTCAAAATTATTCTCAAAATTATATTAGCTCCTTTATGTTTTAAAAATAAACTTCTTAGTTCTTGCTGTGATTTGAGATTAGTGCTCAAAAACTTAGCTCACAAAGCCTATCTTGGAAATCAAAGTTTCACCTCCGGCTTCATTTAGAAAGCGATTACTCTTTTTTATAAACTAGCTCGAATTCTTTGGAAATTTCAGTTTCCATTCTTATTTAAATGTGAAAATATTTTAAATCTCTTTGGAAATACACAATCCTCATATACTTCTTTGAAGAAAAGAACTTCAATTGTACTCTTTACCGAACTCAAAACTTAAGTCTTAAAACAAGGTTAAAACATTTATGACAGACTTTTGGAAAACTTTAAGAACTTATCTTGACTTACCGCTTGACTTTTCTTAACTTTGATCTTAATTGCTCTTGACTTGACTCTTAACTGATCTTAACTTGACTTTTGATCTTAACTTGACTTGATCTTAACTTGACTTGACTCTTAACTGATCCTTGAATTGAATTCTGGATTAAAGGATTAAGATTTGTATTTGGAAGGATCTCAACTTGTTTAGGAATGATTTTAGATAGCTAAACATGAGAAAAGACTGAAAATCAAGATTTGGATGTGGGTCCGTGATGCAGAGATATAATTTTTGTTCCAAAATGTCTTTTTGAGGTAGAGTACCTTGTTTCATCTATGAGACGTGAAGCTAAAAATTTCAATTCTGTGGATCAGGCGCGCGATGCACCACCATGCTTAGATATTGTTCGACGAATTTTCTTTTTTGTTTCCCAGTCCCAATTCACTCAATCTTGTTTTTTTATTAAATCACTTTTAGATACAAATACCCAACAAATGTACCCAAGAACCTCACTCAAAACGACTCTAAAACACGACATAACGAACTCAGAAACTTCCCAACTCAGGCAAATTCAAGAACAATATGTAAACTTAAGAAGTAGACATCAAGATCATGAATATTCAAACACATGTAGGACGAAGCCAAACTGAAATATTATGCTTGGCATGTGGGAGAACAATACCAACCTTATGGAAGCCTCACATGATAGAGATCACCCCCGATAAAATCCACGATCAAACTAGAATGATCTTGGCGAATCTTGTTTCTTCTCCTATTTCCTCCTCTCGTATCTCTTCTCTCAAAACTCTAACCTTTTTGGTGAAAGTGTAAACTGACTAATATCAATTTAGAGCCCAATTAACTACCTGAAAACGAAATAAACCAATTGGATTAGGAAAAGAGCAAACTACCCTTTCAAAATTTAGATTTGGACATTTCATTAATTCAACAACCCAACTTCCAAAGGGCATAACTCACTGATACGAACTCAGAATCGAGCAAACTTGCCGATGTTGAAAATATCGTTCCAGGAGCTTTTGAGCTATATTTGGAGCTATAACTAACTCATCATAAGCTAGGAGTTATGATCATTAGAAGTTGACCAAAATCTCACTTTAACTTATTTAAAATTTTCTAGATTTTTTTAGACTTTCCAAAAGTAACTATTTTCAGATTTTTAGTTCTTTTCAAAAAAATGACTATTTCCAATTATAAGCTTCTTTTTAATTATTTCAAATTGGGAGAATGTTGCATAATCTCCAACTATAGAGAATGAAAATTTTTTATCAAAAGGAGTTCAATGATTCTCATAGTTTCAAGATTAGAAAACAGGGGTCAGATAGTGCAAAAACCACTTAAAAAATTGAAAGGTAAAATTAGATTCAAAAATTGAAAGGGTAAAATTAGATTTCTTTTTGAAAAACATTATTTATCATCATAGAGGAATTCGTGGATATTCAAGTCTATCTCGGAGCCTGAATTTTCACACGAACAACTCTATTGGAGCGCTCTCTCTACTGTACAATAACTAAAACAATCTCCAAAGAATAGAAGAATTCTTCAAAAAGAGTTTAATAATACGCATAATGACAAGATTAGGAATCAAGGGTCATATAGTCCAAAAGTTACTATAAAAATTGAAAGGATAAAATTAGATTTCTTCTAGAAAAACATTATATACCATCATAGAGGAATTCCTGGTTGTAAGACTCATTAAAATAAGTCGAGAAATGATCTCAAATTCATGAAAGTACCAATGTTCAAATTTAGGGGGAGATCTCAAAATCCACATTGAAATCTAAGATTTGAAAGGTGTTTCGGATGAAAAGTTGAAGAAAGCGTACGGAGTTGATAGAGAAACTTATCCATTTTAATTTCACATAGAAAAACTTCCAAGAATCACCTCTCCTAAGCTCAAATTCTTCGTTTTTACAAAAAGTTTACAACAAAAAAAAAATAGGAGTTAGCTTGGCCAAGTGTAAATGGAGGAAATGAGAAAAATGGGATGCTTAGGTGCAAAATATTCATGACAATCCCGAGCCACTATTTCTAGGGATCGCGAGGAACACAAGGACAACTCATAATTTAGGTGGCATAATTTTGTATTTGTTGTTGTTGTTGTTTGGATGAATATTGAAATTCTTAATTTCTTGCTTACTATCGGCTATTGAAAAAGAATGTACGAATTAGCTAATATACTCTCTAATAATTTTCCTTTAGTTACTAGTCTGTTATAAAACCAATCAATATCTGATAGCTTAGCTAGCGGATTAGTACATTTAAAAGTCAATAACCGATAAGTCAAACCGTTAAGCGAAATTATCCGTCTAATCCACCTGATAAGAAGCCTTAATCTTAATTATTCAAATCATTACTGATTTTAATAATCCTGAAAAAAAGTTTCTATGAGTATTACACCTATTATTAGTAGTAAAAATATATATTTTTCATGCTTCTTTTTTCTTCCAGAGACTCCTCATTTGCATCTCAATTTTTTAGTTATTATTGAAGTTTTTGTTTGTGCTTATGAGTGATGTTATATTTTTCTTTTTATGCTTTGTAATAATTATTATACAATTACTTTTTCTTACCGCATTTCAGTTGATTATGACGATATTTAATATATGTATCGATTTAGTTTTTATCTTTCATGCATAATAATTAATATTATGAGATACACACTTTATATATATATATATATATATATATATATATATATATATATATATATATATATATCATATATCATATATTATTATAGCATGAAGCTTTCAACTTAAAAGTTAAATTACTATTTTGTCCTTGTTTTATCTCTAAACTAAATAAATATTATTATATAATTAATTTAATATTAGATAATATTTTTTTATTTAAATTCATGCCTCTAGACACAATGGTTCAAATTCTTTTGGGAAATAGTTACAAGAAGAGGAAAGATCAAAAATTGTATTTTTCTTAATAAATGTGTATATCAATTCTTCTTTATCAAAATCAATTTAATTTTGGCTTGGGACTGTGCCAGTGATTATTTATTTATCACCTTTTGTTGTTAGTAGAGAAAAGATATACAAGTAGTATAGACACTAAAGGTAATTTCATTCATATTGAATCTTTATGTTTTTTCTTTTTTATTATTTTATTTATTTAATCTTGATTTTGTTTATTGTATTTTAATATGTTTTCTTTAAGTTTTTGATCTTGTTTTCATCAAATTGTGCTAAGAATCTGTAATACAATTTGTTAATTTTGTGTGATCTTTTTAGTGTTATTTGCTTTTGATTCTTCTTTCTTAATATTAGATTTTGATGTATTCTTTGGATATCAACTTTTTTTATTGGTTTTATGGTATTTGATATGCTTAGCCTCATTATGGTTTCAATCTAGACTAGAAGAGGTTTACACAATTATTATTTTATTTTTGTGTGGTCTTGTTAATATGTTGTATCATTGAATGTTTTTTTATATTTATTTTTTGACTATTTTTAGTAATTTTGAAATGTATTCTCGAGGTATTGCTCAATTTTATACGTTATGTGATAGTTTTCTATTTTTTATCTTGGGATTTCAATTTTTGTTGGTTCTTTGACGAACTTTTTCATCCTTTAAGAAATGTAGTTATTACTGTCAACACATGGTATAGGATCATAGAGACATTAACTTTCAGAAAGTCATCGTAGTAATGCCACTTTTATGGTAACAATTAAAATAATATGGTTGAACCTCACTTTTATGGTACCAATTAAATTGAAAAGTCATGCATATATATAATACAAGTGTATGTAATACAAATGACCGGTGAATAAATATATGGTTCTCATATCTATATTTGATAATAGGGTAATATTACTTGAGGTTTCAATTAATTCACAAAACTTGGAGTATACATGTCACCCTTCATTGTTTCAAGTTTATCATTATTTTTCTAAAAATTCTACTTTATGCCTTATTTATATACTTTATACTTGTGTCATTTAAAAAAAAACGAAATATTAATTAATAGGGTACACGTGCGCAAAGACTAGTATATATATATATATATATATATATATATATATATTTATATTTGTGTATGCGCGCGTGTATCTTTAAATATGTTTTAGCCAACTTAAAAGTTGTTACTTTTTCTTACATATGCTTTGATTTTATTTTTATAGGACAAAGAAAGTCGAATAATATATGTACCATTTACATTTATTATTTACAATACAAACATTATATCAAATATTTTAAGGTAATCGTTCCACGCACGTTCCTACAAACTAGTTACCTAAAATAGATTGGGGAAAAAGGAAGTAGTTACAGTCAATTGTACCAATGGGTGCAACAATTGGTAAAGATGTTGTATAAAAGATTATGAATTTATAAAAGTTCCAATAGTTGACGTAGTTACTTGCAACAATTTATGTAGTGGTTGTAACAACTGCTACATATGTTTACAAATCTACCAAACAAAATGTTCAAAATTGAAAGAATACTGGAAGCACTAGAAAATGAGCAAATAATGGACTTCTAGAAATGTGGTCCAAGAGGATAACAACTCCACCATAATTTCTGTTGAGCACAGCTCAGATCAGATTTGTGAACATGCAAAGTCTCCTACTATAATCAACTAGCAACTTGTTCTTTCTGATCAATTTCATGCTTCTTTGGACAAGACGATGAAAGGTGGCCACGCTCTCCACATTCATAACATGTTCGCCTCCTAATCTTTGCACTAACAGTGCTTGTTGCAACACTATCCACATTTTGATCTTTCTGCATAGGTCTTGAATCTGTTGCACCTCCTTTCTTAACAGCTCCTTCCTTCGCAACAGCACAACTTATTCTAACAGGTCTACCACATACAATCTTTTGATCCAACTTCAATGCCATGTTTACAGAGACACAATCAGAAAAATCCACATGGGCATAACCTCGAAATTCTCCTGTTTCTTTATCTTCACCGAATCGGATAGAACTTATGCTGCAATCTGAAAAAACTTTCTTCAAGTCATCCTCTGTTACATTCCATGATAAGTTACCCACGTATACCCTATTATACCCTTCGACCATGTTTGGTGAGAAGTTGGACACTTTGTTAGCTTTAGCGGACTTGTATGACTGGATTTTCAGGAATAGTCCACCCCTGGGAGCAGATATACGTGTTAGTGAGAAGCGAGATGCAGAAGATTTAACTTTCTCATCAATGAAGACATGATTGCACTTACATATCAGAACCATCCAGTGCCATGGCTCTCTTAGCGGCTGCTTCAGTCTGGAAAACAAATTTAGAGAGAAACCTGCTCAACTAGCAATATTTGCAAGAAACCAACACGGGAAAAGGAAAACAAACCAAGGTTCTGAAAGACAAATCGTATGAGGTGGCTTAGGTCACCAAAACAAGTCAAATGCAAATCTAGGTAGCACGGTACTTGCAACTGTTGAAAGTGGAACTTGAACTCTTGCCAATCCTCTCAAATAAATAATAAAATTATTAACAAATAAAGGTGTGGTAGACTCAATGCAAAAAGAATAACTGATTCGTGAAGCATTAACATTTTAAAATCATAAATTTGCACAAAGCTACATGAAAGATAACTTCTTTAGTCGTAGGTACTTCAAGACTAATCTTATGAGATTTTTACTTTTGATTGGTGAGAAGAAACAACTTCAAACACAAGCGAAATCGATTTTGCAGAATGTGTACAGAGTTTGGAGGAGATAATTTAAAAAGTAGCATTTTTGTTATATTACTACTCTTTCCATTTCATATTTATTTGTATGTTTTAACTTAGCACGGAGTTTAAGTATAGAAGATTTTTGAATCTTGTGATCTTAAACTAAAGAAGAATGTATAAAATTTCCTTTCACCTTGTGGTCTTAAAAATAACACGAGAAAAGTTGAAATTAAAGAGTTGCCAAAAAAAGAAAAGAAAAAGAGACATCCCTTTTTTTAATGGACTTAAAAGGGAAGTACAACAAATAAGTCGAAACGGATGGAGTAACTAATAATGAGTACAATTACCAAGTATAGTCCCACAAAGAGGAGACGGGGAAAGATAGAGTGTATGCACACCTTATCCTTACCTCAGAGGTAGGGAAGTTGGTTCTGGTAGATCCTTGATTCATGGAAAAATAATCAAAAAAAAGATGTAATGGAAGTACAAAACTCAACAAATAATATTATTAAAAAAAAAAAACTCAACAAATAATAACAACACAACAAATAGTAGTAGAACCAAAAATACAACAAAGCAATATGATAATTGAAGTACAAGGAATCAATAGATAACAGAAATCAAAGGACAAGAAACTATAGGAGAAATAGTATGACTTACCACCCACTTACCATATATAAAATTCTTTGAAGTACTTACGGAGAGACTCAAAGGGACGATGGACAATTTGATATAGGAAAATCAAAATACTTATATCGGAGGTCGGCAGATTGTAGATGTGGCAGTGTTAGAAGAGGGATGTTTGCATACAAGGTAAAAATCAAGAAGGTTGCATACAAGGTAAAAATCAAGAAGGGGGTCTTCTTTAAGCTTGATGTCGAGAAAGATTACGACCATGTAAACTGACCCTCCAGACCTGAATTGCCATTTACTCTCTTGAATAGCAGCAACATAGGGGTAGTCAACAGACACCCTTAAACTGGGTATTTTCACCTTTTTCTTCTGGCCTTTAATGAACCTGTCAAATCTTCAAAGCAATGTCCAACAACCCAGCATTCAATGTCAACTCTGTACTATTAATCCTGACCTTCTCCCTCTATGTAAGATATAATGCGTATAAACCTCCCATGAGTATTATGCTTTCTCGTGCAGTAATGCTCTGCCTCATGCTCCACGATTTTCTATCTCCTTGTTACATTCTTTTTCTCCTTGGATGCTTCTCTTAAACATACACGGATCCATTCCATTACCTTCCTGCTCAGGGATGATCTGCGCATCATCTTTCTGCTTCTCTCTATCCATTCGTGCCATTCCGCTTTGGCATTTTCCCATCTGGTGATATCAAAAGACTTAAACCCTGCATTGACATAGATTCGATTTTCTTCCATTCTACAGGGGGTGATTTATCAATATCCCTCTAGCCTTAGTCTGCTAGAATAGAAATGATATCTCTAACAAGAATGACACAAACAACATCCAAACTTACATTAGTTCTTTCTTCTCAAATCTTTTATTAGGTCGACCTTGGTGAACGGCAACCTAATGGCAATCCAACTTATGTGATGTCATCAACTCTCATTCCAATTAAAGTAGAAGGCGTCCTAAATGACATTCCACTTATTTGATTTCTTCAATGCTCATTCTAGCTAAAGTGGAGGCCCAACTAGATAGAAGAACATGCAAGTTTTTCCTGGAATGAGATCAACATCAAGAAGATGCATTTGTTAGGTGGGGAAAGTTGAAGTTGCACAAGGAGGATGGTGTACTGGGAGTGAGTAATTTAGGGCTCCAAATTAAGAGCCTTCTGTTCGAATGATTGTGGAGGTGGAATGACAAAAGAAGAGAACAATGGAAAGAGTTCATTAAGCTGAAGTATGGTTGTCAGAATTATAAGGATACGAAAAGTATAACTGCACTCTCATGATATTGCCTTCTGGAAGCACATCAACAACTTATGATCTAATTTGCAAGATCACACAAGAAAGAAAACTAGCAATGGAAGATATTTTGAGTTCTGGGAGAACAATTGGGTTGGGGGAATCTTTAGCTGGCATGTTTTTCCGATTCATACAGCACTTACTTGACAAAAATAGCATAATTGCTAACTGCCAGAATGGCAGCTCATGAATATTTCAATTTAAAAGGAATTTTTTGGGGATAGATAGGCTGGAGATGTAAGTGAAGACTCCTGAAGGCCTTGCTTTGGACAGGCAAGGCACTAGTGAAGGGAAATATCTTGTTTAGTCAAACTACCAAATATTGGCAAGGATTGCTGGAATTTGTGGAAGTCGTACAGAATGGCCATGGAAAATGCTATGGAAGACAAAGACTCCAGTTATAGCTGTTGACTTTGGTTGCGTGGCAGCACATGAGGCCAGCTTGACACGGGATAAGCTGCGGACAAGAGGATTAATTTATGTTGCTGGTACTATTTGTGAAAGGGAAGGGGAATCAGTGAACCATTCATCAATACATTGCATGTATCTATGGCAGATCTGGTGCATCTTTTTTAGCTTATATGGATGTTGGTGGGTTATGCAAGCAAACATCTGATCAAGTTCTCTGTAGCTGGATAACCCAGAGGATGAAGAAACAACAAAAGAAGATATGGATGACCATCCGATTGGCATATTATGGAGCATTTGGCTTTAAAGGAACCAAAGATGCTTTGACAAAAAGGAGGAAATTGTTTATTTAGTTAAGAACAGATGTATTTAATATCTGAAACATTGGTCCAGCGCTGTTTTTCAAAAAGATTTGGATGTAGTTATAAACTTTTTAGAAACCTTTGTAGGATTAAAAGGACTCTGCATCCCTGCTTGGTACTGGCTGTACCCATTCAAGCAACAGATAAGAACTCACTGACTGTCATATGGCTAAGAGATGAATTTTCCCATGATAAACTTTCCATCTCATTATCAACAAGACTGTCAAGAAAATAATAATTCTTAAGCCTCAAAAGTCTGCAGAAATTCACATATTTCAAAACTTTGTGACACAATTGAATATAACAAACACATCCAAGACATTTAAGCAAACATTATCTGAAAATAGTGCAAAGGACACCAACAAACACTATTAGAAAGCAGAATTCACTCAAAGAATCTACCTTAAAAGTGATAATGGCAATTCCTCTAAACTTTCCGCTGTCAGGGAAATTCATACAATCAACCTCCATAATGGTGCCACAACCTTCAAAGTAGCTCCTAATATCATCCTTAGTGGAATAATAAGGAATACCTCCGACATAAACTTTATTAGAAATGTCAACGCTTTCTTCTCTGGAAGAGACAGGTAGATAGCCACAACAACATAGAGGTGTCAGAAACAAAAAAGAAAATGAAAGAACATATCCTAAATCATGCAATAGATAAGAGTTAGACAAAAGTCTTATGAAACATAGATCAAACAAAGAGTCATGAAAGAAATCAATCCCCACATCCCAAAAGACAAGAGTCTGATGCAATGTCGGAGTGCTCATCCATATCACATAACCATCAAATTAAACTCATCCATTTTTTGATTTGATTGTGCACTGTGTGCAACAGCTTCAAAAATCCAAACAAAAACCTAGCTATGCCCTTGAATTGGCCAGCAAAGCTGAAGTTAGACTTGATATTGAAATTAACTATGCATTAGCCTTGTTGTAACAAGAAAGGATCCTTATTTTACCATAACAAGGATTTTTTTGATTCTCATGTAGAACTTAACAAAGTTAAAAAAGGTCCGACTGTATCTTACACATTGGTTTCAATTTGTTTGTTTGTGGTATCGGGACAATCAAATTGAGTAATAAGAATTGGGTGAATGAGAAAAGGATTTTCATACCTTTCCTCAGTTTTAGTAGTCTGGGCTGCTGATGCTACTTGTACAACTTGCCCATCTTCTTCTTTTTTCTTCCCTTTTCTCTTCTTCTTCTTCTTCTTCTTCTTCTTCTCCATAGGTTTCCTCAGCTCCCCATCAGTTTCATCTCTCTTCCTCTTCTTCTGTTTTTGTTGAGTTTTCTCATTCATACTCCCTTCTTCCTCTTTAACTTCACAAGAAGCTAACAGTTCAGCTTTAGCTGCTCTTAGTTTTTGTTTCGACTTCTTATTTGATAGAACCATCGCAATGCTGAGTTTGCTGCTTCAAGATGGCTAACTGAACAAAACCCTGCAAAAACCCTCCTCCCTTGCCTCAACCCTTTTAACAACCCCTTCCCGACTTCTATTTCCTTGCTAAAAAGGAATTTTTTTTTTTTTCAAGAATTACATAATTTCTATTGCTCACTTTACTTATTACCTTTTTTTTTATTTGTCCATTTTGTCTAATTATAATTTTTTTAGTTATTATATTCTTGATTAATTAGTTTGAAATTGATAAAAAAAATTATAAATCTTAAATTTTTAATTCATCCACTTTATATTTAATAGGGGGAAAATTACTATGTCAACCATTCTCTTCTTAATAGGTGTGTCAATTTAAAAGTGGACAAGTAATTAGGGACAGAGAGCATTCAAGAAAAAACGATAAACACAGTAAAGTCTTACTAAATTAATACTTGGTAATTACTAATTTGTCTAAATTAATATTTTTCTTCGATTTTGACTTAGGCCAATGAAAAAATTCACAATTTTCGATAAGATAATATATTTTCAAAAGATCAATATATAAATATATGTTCTCGTTAATATTATAAATTATTAATTCTTTAAAAGTACAAATATATCAAGACAATTTAGTGAAATATGATTTCATTAAGTTTTCTTTTGTTAAAAATTAAATTTAATTGAACTTCATGTCTAACTTTTTTTATTGCATTCAAAAGTTTTATTGTTGTCTTTTTTACTGCACCATAAAATTGTGATGAGTTCTAGATGTAATGAGTATTTTCTTATGAGTATTTGATTCTAAAGGTATTGTATCAGCTTCAACTTCATCATGAATATTGTTTTTTTCCTAATGATATTCACAATTTCTTCTAAACTCAAAAGTCTGAACATGTATTATTTTCATACATGTAATCTAACACATTTTATGTCCATTTTATTAAAGTAACCGAGATTCTTAATCATGACCTCAAATTCATAAATGATGTTTTCACAAATGGGTTTACTAAAATTCTCTGAGATTTCATTCCAAATGAATTTTTCAGTATTGATAACAATTTGTTATTGTCTCTTGTTGAACATTTATTGTCCAAGTCGGGAGTACAAAATTGATGGCATCCAAAACCTTAATCTTTCCTGGATCAGTTTTTCGTCCATTCGGGATTGCAAAATTGATAACATATAAAACATTTTTCATGGTACTTTATGTATAACAAATTTACTTTTTTAATGTGAATTTCATAAATATAATACATAAACTACTAAGATACAACGATTTTGATGTACTCGAAATTAATCTTTATTTAATCCTAAAATACTATTTAAATTAATAAATATTAATTGGGTTGTCCTTTAGGATTTGTACCCGGATGATTCAACCCTAAATACACTCTAATACATATTTCACACCTTTCCAACGAATTTCATCAAATTTAGAGTCTTAGAACCTGGTGAAATAGGCTAAGGCACACTAGCACCTCTATGAATAGTGTCTGAACGTTATTGATATTTCTTGATTTCATGACACAAAAACACCCTAAATGAAATATAAAAATTATGTTAGGTCTTAAAATAGTGTTACCAACCTTAGACCAACACATAAAGTTCTATATTAGGTCTTGGACTTTTAAAGTGTTACATCAAAGGAGAAGTAGTGGATGCAAAAACATCCAGAAACTTCCTACAATACCCGACCAAACAAAAGAAACATCTAATGTAGGTTGGAGTCAATGATCTAGGACAATTCTTAACCGCTTGCGCATTTCTTGGATCAACATATATAGGCTCGCTTGAAAGAGTATGACCAAAGAACGCAATCGATCTTAACAAAAACTCACACTTGCCACATATGGGGAGCACCCCGTACAAGTAACCGGTGTCTTCATCCTTGAAGAGGACTAAGACAAACCTCTTAGCATTCGTCATAATATTTCATAGGTTAACTTGTGGAAAAATTAAAACTTTTTATTTAATTCTACGTTGAGGTATACATTGACCTCTCGCATACACATGACACACATATATACATAATACATATATATACAAAATACATATATATATACATAATACATATAAATACATACATACATACATACATACATACATACATACATATATATATATATATATATATATATATATATATATATAGGGAATGTACATAGACTCCTCGCATAAGAAGAACTATATAGGATTCTACTTTTATTTTACTTACAAAATATAGCATTATAGATTCATTAGAAGTCTAGGATACGTCTCATAGTAAACAATCTAAAACGAGTACAACATTGAGCATAGTCCATACTTCATACAACAAAAGATACATATTGGTATATACAACATTAATCTTCAAATGAAAATGAATGATGAGAAGATTCTTTAAGACTAAATAGTAGCCCATATCATGATAGTAGCACCGTTCTCGGAAGGCGAGGACCTACCGAACATGGAGAATGAGAATTCAAGTCTTCTTCAATGGTTCTCTAAAATATCAAAGGTCGAAACCTACATTTTCTAGTAAACATAAAAACATGTGTTAGTACATAACTTGTACTAAGTATAGGCATATGCACATAAAATATTTGAAAAGAATGCATGAGAAAGGGACTTTTGTTCAAAACCATGCTAAGTTAATTTGAAAATCCTTATGTAAAATCAAAATCCTTATGTAAAATCAAAAACACATCTAAACCAATAATCATACATTCCTTAACACAAGATCATATAAAACCCAAAACCAACATTATCAGGTATAATCAATTCAACATGTATCATAACATATTTGAGTACATAATCAATAAAACTTCAATATCATGTTATAAAACAAAAAGCATATATAAGTGTTCATAAAATTAAAACAAATAGAATACCTTACTCATAACCCTTCATCAATTCCACAACTTCAATGACCAAGTAAAGCCCCATTACCTTACTCAACTAAGTAAACCAAACAAAAGATATGATGCAATGCCAAACTTCATTTAACAAAAGATCATAAGCAATGCGTAACGTCAACATATCTATATCATTTACTTTGTAACACATAATAACAAGCTCTCAAGACTTCCCTCTACAACAAATAGTTCAATGTATTGGTAGAGTCCCATACCGCTAACACGACAATGTAACACCCCTTAGGTCCTCCTAGTTAGCGTTTACTTTATTACTTCATTTTAATTTCGAGAGCACATGCCTTAACCGACACAGACAACATTAGAAAAATGTGGAGTCTGATGCCATGAAACCCTAAACTGAAAGAAGGTGGACCACATGCCAAGGTAGTACCAAAACATGAACATAGCATTCTAGGTGGAATCACTAGCTAGCATTCCTCTTGGGGCAACATAGTTCAAGAACTAAGAGACATGCTTGGTACCCTCCTTATTCACATTAAATTATAGTTTCCAATCTTATGTGTAACATAGTGAACCTATCTTCCCACTTTGGAAAGGGACACTCCCCACTACTAGTTCACACGGTGCTAAGATAGAGTCCCTTTCAGAAATGTCTTTAATCATTTATTAATCATCATAACTTAGTATAGGCCATTTGATACTAACCCCTTGTATATTAATAATAACTAACTCCTTAGGAATTACATGAGAATAACCTTTCAATACAACCCTTATAAGCGAGATCAACACATTATCATCATCATGCCATAGTAAAGCACATAGGAAGTTCATAATCAACCTTACTCATTTCATCTTAAACATAATATTACACCTTCACAGGATAAAATATTTCAATAACATCATCATACCAACACCTAATTAATATAGTCACAAGGCATGCTTCATGTAAACTTCATCATAAAGTAAAAGTCATCATAATAGAAGTAAAGGTTCAAGATTACAAAGTCTTACCAATTCTCCTCCAACAAGACATCTTCATTGGTATTACCTTCAACAAATAAAATTTATTACATCAATAGGTGTAATAACGTCATACGATAAATTAACACAAGCACAAAGTCAATTGTATCATCACTACCCAAATTAACCTAAATTCATAACGTATGGCTAGGTGGATTAAGGTTCATCATGAATTTAATAAGAATTATGTCCAATCCCAATAATAAATTACCCTAGACATTCCATAAATTAAATATAGTTGATAACACAAGTTAACAATCAATACGATCTTCAATTTCAATCAATTCATAAACATGATCCAATACTTGAGGCAATTGTTAAAAGGGACATGATCCATAAGAAATTTCATTAATTAACCTCAATTTCACAACAATCTAAATTCAATTAGCCACGGGAAATTGTAATTAATAACAATAAATCATTAATAAGTTTAGAAGAAATCCCATTTGTAGAACAAAGCCCTTGGAATATGGGTGATTTAGAAATTTACTTTGAAAGGACCTCTTGGGGAAAGGAATCCCATGAGTGAATAACTCATGCCTTAAATAATCTTAATCAACAAAACTAAAGTTTAATCCTAGAGAAATTTACCTTCTTCTTCAAGCTTCCTTCTTCCTTCAATGGAGGTTGAATAGAGAGAGAAATTAGAGAGAGGTGAGAGCTTTTATGTTTTAATTTGGGGATTTGATTTTAGTTAGTTAATGTGAAGGAAAACTGGTTTAATATCAATATATATACCTTCGATGAAATACCCCAATGACCGCTCACTTTTTTTGACCCTTTAATGAAGTCAACTTGAATTCAAAATTTTCAGATATTCGTCGGTGAACAAGTCGATGTCGCGGAGCTGTTCCCGCAAGATTTTCTAAATTATTCTTTAAGACACTAGAGTCAGCAACCTGACCGCGACACAGACTTTATTTTTGACCAAATGACCACAATGTTCGTGACGCGGACACACTTAACCAATGTGTATTTTCGCTACTTTTTATTTTAGCTTTCTTGTCCATATTTGGGGTCCTTTCGTGGATCCCTAGGGCGACACTTGAGGGTTCGTACCTGGACATTTTAACTCTATATACATAGATTTACTTATTTAAAATAATTCTACAAGTGTAAGACCAGATACAACACCCTCAAACCTTCACACAACCTAAGGACGTTTTTCTAATTTCAAGTGCG